AAGAAGGTCATTTCATATTCATCACAGGTTGTGCTCGCTTCGGCAGCACATATACATATTCATCACAGGAGAAATCCACCAAGATGAAGTCTTGATTCTAAACATCTATGCCCCAAACACAAAGGCATCCACATTCATAAAAGAGACCTTACTAAAACTCAAACCACACATAAAACCTCACACACTAATTGTGAGAGACTTCAACACCCTACTCTCACCACTAGACAGGACTACCAGACAGGAGCTTAACAAAGAAACAAAGGAACTAATAGAAATTATGACCCAATTGGCTTTGACTCATCTATAGAACATTCCATCCAAACACAAAAGAATATACCTTCTTCTCAGCGCCACAGGGAACCTTCTCAAAAATCGACCACATACTTGGCAACATATCAAACCTCAACAGGTACAAAAAATTGGAATAACTCCATGTATCTTATCAGACCACCATGCCTTAAAGTTACAATTCAACAACAACACAAATTGCAGAAACCCTACAAACTTATGGAAATTGAATAATGCACAATTGCACTACTTCTAGGTCAAAGAAGAAAAAAAGAAATTAAAGACTTCCTAGAATTCCATGAGAATCAAGACACAACATACCCAAATTTATGAGACACTTTGAAAGCAGTGCTAAGAGGAAAGTTCATAGCACTAAGGGTCCACATGAATAAACTGGAAAATAGTCACACTAGAGAATTAACAACACAACTGAAAGCTCTAGAACAAAAAGAAGCAAACTCTACAAGGAGGAGTAAGACACCAGTAAATAATCAAAATGAGGGCTGAACTCAATAAAGCAGAAACTAGGAAAACAGTACAAAGAATCAATGTAACGAAGAGTTGGTTCTTTGAGAACATCAACAAGATAGACAAACCTTTATCCAAAGTCACCAAACTATAGAATGTGAACATGCAAATTAACAAAATCAGAAATGAAAAGGGGGACATGACAATGGACACTGAGGAAATTCAGAGAATCATCAGGTCATACTTCGAAAACCTGTACTCCACAAAATTCGAAAATTTAAAGGAAATGGACAACTTTCTGAATAGATATAACCTGCCAAAATTAAATCAAGAACAGATAAGCAATTTAAATAGACCTATAACCCCTATGGAAATTGAAACAGTAATCTAAAGCCTCCCAACTAAAAAACACCCAGGTCCAGATGGCCTCAGTACAGAATTCTACCAAAAATTCAAAGATCAGCTTATACCAATTCTCCTCAAAGTATTCCATGCAATAGAAGCAGAAGGGTCTTTTCCAAACTCTTTTACAAGGCTTCAAGCCACACAAAGACACAACTAAGAAAGAGAACTTCAGACCAATATCCCTCATGAACATTGATGCAAAAATACTCAATAAAATACTGGTGAATTGGATCCAAGAACACATCAGAAAACTCACCATGATCAAGTAGGTTTCATCCCCGGGATGCAGGGATGGTTCAACATACGAAATTCCATCAATGTAATCCACCATATGAACAAGTTGAGAAACAAAATTGCATGATCATCTCACTAGATGCTGAAAAAGCTTTTGACAAAATCCAACACACCTTCATGATAAAGGTCTTGGAGAGATCAGGGATAACAGGAACATACCTAAGCACAATAAAAGCTATATATAGCAAACCAACAGCCAACATCAAGCTAAATGGAGAGAAACTGAGAGCAATTCCTCTAAAAACAGGAACAAGACAAGGCTGCCCACTCTCTCTATACCTCTTCAATACTGTACTTGAAGTTCTAGCCAGAGCAATAAGACAACAAAAGGAGATCAAGGGAATACAAATTGAAAAGGAAGAGATCAAACTTTCACTATTTGCAGATGATATGATAGTTTACATAAGTGACCCAAAAAACTCTACCAGGGAACTCCTTCAGCAAAGTGGCAGGATACAAGATCAACTCAAGAAAATCAGTAGCCCTACTATATACAGAAGATAAAATGGCTGATCAAGAAATTAGAGAAACATCACCCTTTACAATTGCCACAAAGAACATAAAATACCTTGGGGTAATGCTAACCAAACAAGTAAAAGACCTGTATCACAAGAACTTTGAGTCTTTAAAGAAAGAAATTAAAAAAGACACCAGAAAATGGAGAGATCTCCCATGCTCTTGGATAGGTATGATCAATGTAGTAAAAATGGCAATCTTGCCAAAAACAATCTACAGATTCAGTGCTATTCCCATTGAAATCACAGCACACTTCTTCACAGACCTTGAAAAAACACTTCTCAACTTTATGTAGAAAAACAAAAGACCCAGGATAGCCAAAACCTCCCTGTCCAACAAGGCAACATCCAGAGGCATCACCATCCCTGACATCAAGCTCTATTATAAAGCTATAGTCCTGAAAACAGCTTAGTATTGGGACAAAAATAGATAGGTAGACCAATGGAATCCAATAGAAAACCCTGATATTAACCCACACACATATGAACACTTGGTTTTTGACAAAGAAGCTAAAATTATACAATGGAAAAAAGAAAGCATCTTCAACAAATGGTGCTGGCATAACTGGATGCTGGCATGTAGAAGACTGCAGATAGATCCATGTCTATCGCCATGCACACAACTGAAGTCCAAATGGATTAAAGACCTCAACATAAAACCAACCACACTGAACCTCATAGAAGGATAAGGAAAATGTGGTGCATTTACACAATGGAGTAATACTCAGTGGTAAAAAATCAATCAATGACATCTTGAAATTTGCAAGCAAATGGACAGAACTAGAAAAAGCTATCTGTGAGATGTAACCCAGATCCAGAAAGACAAACATGGTATGTGCTCACTCATAAGTGGATATTAGACACAAAGCAAAGGATTACCAGCTTACAGTCCACAACCCCAGAGAACCTAGGTAACAAAGAGGACCCTAAGAGAGACATACATGTATCTGCCTAGGAAGGAGAAAAAGACAAGAGCTTCTGAGTAAATTGGGAGCACAGGAAGCAGGGAGAAGGTAAAAGGGGAGGGGAGAAAAGGAAAGGGGCATGGGGAAAATGTATAGCTCAATATAAATAAATAAATAAACAAACATAAAAGAAAATAGTGTAATTAACTGGGCAGTGGTGGCACACACCATTAGTACCAGCACTCAGGAGGCAGAGACAGGCTGATCTTTGAATCAAGGCTAGCTTGTTCCACAGAAGGAGTTCCAGGACAGACAATACTACACAGAGGAAGCCTGTCTCAAAACCATAACCACAACAAAGTGTCATTAGAAGATTAAAAGAGAACAGAGTCCCTGGCACATTGGTAGGGATTGGAATGGGGACTGGAGTCTCATACTGTGCCTAGCAGCTGTCCTAGCCAGCTTTCCTTCCTTCTGTACTTTTCAGGGTCTTAACACTTTTTATTTAGAGGATTACACATGTGAGTACACTGTGTTTGCTTTATTCCTACCCCTAACTCCCCCCATGCCACCAATCTGCCTGTTCTCAAATTCATGACCTTGTCATTCGTGTGTGTGTGTGTGTGTGTGTGTGTGTGTGTGTGTGTGTGAAATCTACTCAATCCAATTAGTACTGCCCTTATTTGTGTGAGTTTTGGGATAACCACTTAGGATTGGGATCTCATCCCAAAAAAAAAAACAAAAAACAAAAAAAACAAAAAAAACCTGTTCTCCGTCCCTCAGCAGCCACTGCCTGCCTGTAGCTCTCTATGAAATCTTCCTCTCTCCTTGTCAGCATGCTGACTGGCGTGGTGTCGGCAGGTCTTGTACAGAGAAGAATTTCTCCTCTCTCTTCGCTGTGATTAGGGCTTATTAAGAGAGTAGGAGCTTTGTTGCCTTGAACTTCAGATAGGGAAGACTGCCAGAACTCTGGCCACTGAAAGTCCCCAGTCTCAGCCACCGTTCCTTCCCCTGTTTGCACACGGCTATTGTCAAAGACTGGGAAATTCTTCCATCGCAAAACAAATGTCAGGCAAGATAAGGGAAGCAATGTGCCAAGGGCATTGGACAAATGAGACTACCTGGAGAGTACCACGGAAGAAAGACTGTGTTAACTATATTTTATTAATTGTGTGTAAAGGGCATTGGAGAATCCAGGGAAAATTAGACATGCAGACTCATCTCTTCAAGGGAAGGAGATGTTTATCTGTCTTCCTCCTGGTATGTTGGGAAAGGACGTAGTTTACAACCTGGTGATCCTTTGCTATCCATTGAGGTGGGCTCCACCTCTATCCCCCAGAATTCATGTTTTGTTTATCCCAGACCCTTTCCCCCTATACACTGAGCATTGTTTCTGAGTCAACAGAACCTATCTTTATGGAAGAAGCCAGATGTACAGTTTCAATGTAAGCATTTCTTAAGCTTATTGCAACTTGGGACTAAGTTAGTTGTCATCTGGAAATTTTTTTCCAAACTTGTTCTGGGATTAATTATGGCTAAAATAAACCAACTGGTGTCAGAGTCCAAGAAGTTTCACTCAGCACTGGCTAGCTAAGTCAGGCTGAACCATTTCATTCTTATCTTACCTGGGTCATTTCTCTGCCTGCTGTGACACTCACAGGGGCCTCCACGATTATAAAATATCATATTTTGTGATTGTATAACTATATATCATATATCATTAATAAGCTATCATAATGTATACTATGACATATGATTTTGTGTAAATATACATATGTTCTATGTGATATAACAATATTATATGTATATACAACATTTATTAGGAAAGTATATAAATTGGGAAGCTTGATTGCAGGGCCACAATATATTGGTATGCTGACAATTTCTTTTTTATGATTAATTATTATATATACAGTGTTCTGCCTGCATGTGTGCCAGAAGAGGGTGCCAGATCTCATTACAGATGGTTGTGAGCCACCATGTGGTTGCAAGGAATTGAACTCAGGACCTCTAGAAGAGCAGCCTGTGCTCTTAACCACTGAGCCATCTTTCCAATCCTACTGACAACTTCTTAAATTATCTATTTTTAATTCTCAAACATAAATAAATGTTTTGTATTTTACAGCCTGGAAAGGAAGTGTATCCTAAAGATGAAAATGGCCAATGGTTATACCACAAATCAGATCTGTGTGCCACATGGGAGGTGAGTTTATGTGCGTGTCATCTGTTGGCCTACATTTTAACTTGTGAGTCCTATCCCTACTGCACAAGTCCTGACAGCTAGCATCTTTACATTCAATAATAAGTGACAGGATTTCTAGCCACACACACAAATGTAAACCTCCACCTGTAGGTGCTTTGTGTGTGTGTGTGTGTGTGTGTGTGTGAGGTGTGGGGGTGTGGTTTGTGGTGTATGTGGTGTGTGGAGCATGTGTGGTGTATGAGTGGTGTATGTATGGTGTGCATGTGGTGTGCATATGGTATGTGTATGTATGTGATGTGTGGAATGTGTGTAGTATGTGTGGTGTGTGTGTGTGGTATGTGGTGTATGTGGTGTATGTGGTGTTTGTAGTGTGTGGTGTATGTGTGGTGTGTGTGGTGTGTGTGTATGTGGTGTGTGTGGTGTGTGGTGTGTGTGTGTATGTGGTGTGTGTGTGTGTGGTGTGTGTGTATATATATATATACATGTATGTGCATGTGGTGTTTGTAGTGTGTGGTGTATGGTGTGTGTGTGGTGTGTGTGTATGTAGTGTGTGGTGTGTGGTGTGTGTGGTGTGTGTATATATATATATACATGTATGTGCATGTGGTGTTTGTAGTGTGTGGTGTATGTGGTGTGTGTGGTGTGTGGTGTGTGTGTATATATATATACATGTATGTGCATGTGGTGTTTGTAGTGTGTGGTGTATGGTGTGTGTGTGGTGTGTGGTGTGTGGTGTGTGTGTGTATGTGGTGTGTGTGGTGTGTGGTGTGTGTGTATATATATATACATGTATGTGCATGTGGTGTTTGTAGTGTGTGGTGTATGTGGTGTGTGTGGTGTGTGTGTGTATATATATATATATACATGTATGTGCATGTGGTGTTTGTAGTGTGTGGTGTATGGTGTGTGTGTATGCTTGCACACTTGTGCCATGGAGGTCAGGCACATCTCGTGGACATGTGAGTCCTGGAAATTGTACTCAGGTCATCAGGCAGCAAACACCCCTATCCACTAAGTGATGTGGAGAAAAATTCTTATTTTTTCTTATTAAAAACAGTAATTTCCAGAAATGGAAAGAGAAACACAGAGAATGCGTTCTACAAAACAGCACTTTAAAACATAAATGCAATAGCCCACTAGTTAAAATTTGAGTTTTAAAGATTAGTGTGATATCTAAAAGGAATAAACTCAAAATAGCCCATGTAAAGCTGAAGATTTCGGTTCCATTTCTGGACCAGCTACTGGCTCTTTCCCCGGAGCATGGGAGTGGGGGAGTAGAGGAGCCTAAGAAAATTATTGTTGAAGCATCCAGGGAAGGGATGCACTGTGCTGGTCTAGGGAGGGGTTAGAGCAGAAATCTTACCCTGAAACAACAAACCCCCTCCACCTGAACCCCACCCTCCACCTGAACCCCACCCTCCACCTGCACCTCACCCCTCCACCTGCACCCCACCCCCTCCACCTCCACCCATCCCCTCCACCTGCACCCACCCCTTCACCTGCACCCCACCCCTCCACCTGTACCCCACCCCCCTCCACCTGCACCACACCCCCTCCACCCACCCCCTCCACCTGCACGCCACCCACCTCTACTTATCAAGAAAATGAGGATGAGTAAGGGTCTCTGTCTATTTCCTCCTGGGGTTAATAGTTGAGGGTCTGAACCACACAGCTGTCTGGAGGGTTTTGTGATATCTGGAGCCTATATCCAGATGCACTGGCTTTGTTGTGATGAGCTTGAGGGCCTGGCACCCCCTTCTGAGGGGCTTTCTGGAAAAGAAAACAAGTTCATGACCCAAAGTAGCAAGGTGTTTGCTTCAGAAGAAAACTTATCTCAGTGATGTATCCCAACATATACAGAACAGAGAACTAAGAAGCTTTGCATTAAAGACATTAAAAAGAAATATAAGCTACATGAATAACACGTAAGCAAACAAGCAAAAATACTAACAAGGAAATATTTAAAAACATAATAAGACACATGAGAATGAATACATATTAGAAACAGCCAAGAATTAAAAAGAGTATAGCATTTAAGAATCAGAATGAACAAGAGGGAAAACAAACAAACAAACAAAACCCCCCACTTCATTTTGAAAGGAAAAGGTAACCAACAGAAAGAATAAAATTAAAACTCCCAGCTAAGAGGAAGGAGATAAAGTAGCAATATTTGAAGAAAGAGAGACACTGAGCAGGTCAGAGTGTACACAAGAGGGAGAAGGAAGCCAGTGCCTGCACGGTGCTGGGGATAGGTCTGAGGTCTCCAGGGAATGACCACATAATCTGAGATAGTTCAGCAGTGCAGACAGTTTTCCTCTGCAGAGGGGTTGCTAGTGCTAAACCAAGCAAGCCATCACCCTAGCTTTATCTCCAGCTCAAAGGGTCCTGGGCCTCATCCGATGGACGTGGCCAGGCCCAGTGCCATGCTTTTTTATGCAATTAAAAGTTAATGAGCAACTGATAAGCAGAATGTAACCTTGAACATATATTCTGATTTCAGGAAAACGCTGACCCGGGGAGAGATTTTTGCTCAATGGCATTTTTACAGTTGTCTTTCAAAATGGTGTTTCCCTTGTCTCATTTAACCCTCTAATAAAAAAAAAAGGCAACATATTTCCCATGTGGTTATAGTGAGATCGCAGAATATCAAGAAGAAATATTTAGGTGGGAAAAAATTAAACCTTCCAGAATATAGTAAATACACTAGTACAATAAAAAGTCATCACTTGAAAAGAAGGCAGGAAAGTAAAGGAAGTAAACCCATGAAGAAGGTAGAAAATAAATGCCCATTTGGAAATCTTAGTGATATCAAGGAAGAGGTAGAATTTGCCAAAATGCAAAATTCCAAGTCCCGTTACATAGTGTATTTATTTATGTGTGTGTATATATAAAACACAATTTTAAATAAAAAGGCACAAGCATGTCAATAGAAAAACTATAGAAAAAATATATCAAGTTAGCTTTAATCCAAAGAAATTTGGGTGGCTATTTCAACTTCTAAAAATAAGTTTAGTCATGAAGTCTACACTAAAATAACAGAAGAGAGAATGAGCAATCCATGCTTATGATTAAAGATTCCAAATCCTCTTACAAATTAAGACAATAGCTGTACATCAATGAGATTCATGGACAATCAACCTTTTGACATAATTTAAACTCACAGAACACTCCACCAAAATACAGCAGAGGGACTGGAGAGATGGCTCAGGGATTTAGAGCATTTGCTGCTCTTTCTAAGGACCCAGGTTAGGATCCCAGCACCCATGTGGCACCTAACAACTGCCTGTAGCTCCAGCTCTAGAAGAGCCATCTCTCTTCTGGCCTCTGTGGGCACTGCTCACATGCAATGCTCTGGTATGTATGCAAGCAAAACACCCATACTCACAAGTAAAAATGAACAAGTGCTGTGGGATACTACTTAACTGGGGAAAAACGTGTTACATTGTTTAAGGAAAAAACATGTTACATTGTTTATGCTTGGGATAGTAGTTTGACTGTGAAAAGATGTGTTACATTGTTTATACTGTGGGATAGTACTTTGACTGTGAAAAGATGTGTTACATTGTTTATGCTGCATTTGTTTAATTATGAAAAGATGTGCAGCTTTTGTTTCACCTTGCCTGCCTGAGACACCGGATTGGTCTAAGAAAAAGCTGAATGGCCAATAGCCATGCAGGAGAAAGGCTAGGTGGGGCGGCCAGGTAGAGAGAATAGGCAGGAGAACTCCAGGCTCGAGTGAGAAGAAAAGAAGAATGAGAATGAGGGAGATAGAGAGGGGCATGACTGGGGTAAGAATCCAGGAAGCCTCCGGTCAGCAAACACAAGAAGCAGTGAAGGAAAGAAAAGTAAAATGCCCCCAGGCAAAAGATAGATAAAGAGCTAGCCAGAAATAAGCCTAAGCTAGGCCAAGCATTCATAACTAATATTAAATCTCCATGTCATGATTAGGGAGCTGGTTGGCACCCCCCAGATAAAACACCTGGCACAAATAAGTCTTAAAAATACACACACAAACAGAATGCCACTTTTCTAGTCCCCATGGAAACTGTGACACCAAGATCTGTGTTCTCATCCACAAAACATCTCAGTGCTTTTAAGTATTCTAGTTATGCAAGCTGTGCGGTCTTATTATGCTGAAATGAAATCTGAAACCAAGAAGAAAAAGATGTCTGAGAAAACATCAAATATTTAGGAACAGAGAAACACATGTAAATAATTAATAAGACAAAAAGGAAATAAAACCAACTACATGCAATCCATATGCTAGCCTCACACAATTAGAAATTGAATCTTTGGAAAAGCAATATTAAATATTTAGATAGAAATTTGATAAAACATGCATAAGCTTTCAACATTAAAAAACAATAGTGTGTAACTAAAAGAAATCAGAGATCTAAATGAGTGGATAAATACATCACATCTCTTAATATTCAATGTTATGATGTTAATTCTCTCCAAACTCATCTAAAGAATCAATAAAATCCTAGTAAGAAACACTCACTGAAATAAAAAAACATCTATAATGCTCTAAAGAACAAAGTGAGTAGATATGGTGAGGAACATATGTATATAGATATATTATATATAGATATAATTTATCTTTATATATCACTGTATATGTATGCATGTGAAATTTTCAAAGAATAATTTTTATAGATGTCTGTTAATCCCAGAGGCAGGATTAGGGTTAGGGGGTTAGGGTTAGGGGGCTAGGGAGTTAGGGTTAGGGGGCTAGGGTTAAGGTTAGGTTAGGGTTAGGGTTAGAGGATTAGGGGGTTAGGGTTAGGGGGTTAGGGTTAGGGTTAGGGGGTTAGGGTTAGGGTTAGGGGGCTAGGGTTAGGGTTTGGGTTAGGGTTAGGGTTAGGGTTAGGGTTAGGGTTAGGGTTAGGGTTTGGGTAAACACTGAACTGAACTCCTGGAATCCAGTGACAGAAAGGGAGGACCGATAAGACTGGGTTGGTTTAACCCACAGAAACAGTTGACCTGAACAAGGGTGAGCTCTTGGACCCCAGATTGATGGCTGTGTGGAAAGCATGGGACTGACCCAGATCTCCTGAATGTGGTTGTCAGTGAGGAGGTCTAGGTAATCTATGGGGCCTTGGGTAGTATTTATCCCTGGCGTACAAATAGACTTTGAATGCCCATGCCACAGTATGGGATGCTCTCTCAGCTGGGACTCTTGAAGGAAGGCCTAGATCCTACCCCATGACATGACAGACTCTGGAGATGCACCAAGGAGGGCCTCACCCTCCCTGGGGATCAGAGTAGAGATTGGGTGAGAGACTGGGGGGGGGAGGTTCTGGTGGGAAGGGATGGGGAGGAGGGATGGGAGAGGGAGCTGTGATTGCATGTGAAACAAGCTTGTTTCTAACTTAAATTTTAATAAAAGGAAGAAAAAAAGAATAATCTTTAATGATTTTTCTTGGTTTTTGTATGAGCATATGCCATGTATGTTTGGGTGATTGTGGAGGCCAGAAGAGGGCTGGAGTTACAAGCAGTTGTGAGCTGTGTGATATGGGTGCTAGGCAGGGAATTTGGGTGTTCTAGGAACCATGACCCCAGCTCCATCAAAAAGTAAACTTAAAAACATTAATTAAAAAAGAGGATGAAGGATTTGCAATAGGTTTAGAATTGTTACAGTTACAAAAATTGTATAGCGCTGCATTTACACAGCTCCTCTATCAGTGAAAGACATTAGAGAATGCTGAAGTTGATCCGTAAAATACGGTGTCAAGATTGCTATAGAAGGACCTGGCATGTTGGTGGGGGAGTTTGTCTTTTCAATGTTGTGCTGAAACCAGCTCACACCAGCTTGTAAAATCTGACTTTGCAAATCTCTTTCTAGTTCCATGGCCAGGGATGTCACTCAGCTAGCTTGAATGCAGCCTGGTGATAACGTGACACCACAGGAATTGACAAGTGTCATAAGTTGGGTGGTTGTTTCCCCTATCCTAGATAGCTGGATGTTAAACATTTATCAGCACTCCACTGATGTATAGGGTGAATTATTTTACTAGCATGTGCATATATTAGAATGTATCAAAATGCATTTTCTTTTGTTTGGGTTTTTAAAATATGCATCTCTTTGGGGATGGTGGGTGTGCACTGTCCACGTTCATTCTTATTTCCCGAGAGTCTCTCTGTTGACTGTTGGCCTTTCCCCTACAGGCGTTGGAAGCTTGCAAAGATGCTGGCTTGGTGAAATCCCTTGGGGTATCTAATTTTAACCGCAGGCAGCTGGAGCTCATCTTGAACAAACCAGGACTCAAGTACAAGCCAGTCAGCAACCAGGTACAGCAGAGCGGTCTGGCTGTGTGGGGAGAGGCACTCAGTAGAATTTCTAAGTGATAACAAGGTCCTGGGACCTTGCAGCAGGAAGTCTTCCAGGTGTTCCACAGAAATCATAGTCTAAGACTCCAGGACAATCTTTTCACTTCTTTCAATTTACATCTCTTACCAAAAAAAAAAAAGCAAAAACAGACATAGTAGGCACATCTGGGGAAATGCAGGTGAGTTTGAGACCAGCCTGGGCTACAGCACAAGAGTGTGTCGCAAAGAAACAAAACAAAAACAAACAAACAAAAAGTTTACATCATTTTGAAAACTCAGATCCAAGCGGATGTAAACGAAATGGTTTTTTGAAGACGAAAAGAAGTGGAAAGGAAATGAGACTTGCCAGATCAAGATGTTATATAGAGCATTTAAAATAACCCATGGCTCAGGGAACTAAGGTAGGAAGATCCCTTCAGGCCAGAAGATCGAGACCAGCAAGTACCAATACCCTCTCTCAAAAATTAAATAATATATAAAGGTGGCACATGAACAAAGAATGCAGATTAACAGAAGAAAACAAATACTTAGAGGCTGACAAAGGTATAATTTTAAAAAAAAACCTGCTCTAAAATGAAGCAACACAAAACTAATGGCAAAGGCATGAAATCTCCCAGTAGTTTGAGAAAAATGGCTGGCTGTCTAGAAACAAGTGGGCTTTGCTTCACGGCACTCTCCTAGACTAGAAGACAGGAATCATTTGTAAATTCAGCAGAAGAATTTTGTTTTCTGGAACCACGGATAGAAAAGGAAGCCATGAAAGAGTCGTAAAGGAAACTTGGATCAGTTTAGCCGAGTGGTGGCCATGCTCATCCAGCGGGCACAAGACCCTGGCTGAGTTCCTAAAACTGAGGGGAGACCCTGCTAGAAACAACAGGCAAGCAAAAATACAGTGACATATTTTAAGTAAAATAAAAGAATGCATACATTTATGAATTAAAAGACTAACAAAAATGAACTAAAGTACTTGATGGGGGGGAAATCCCTCTAAGACTTGTCAGAAACTTAGCAAAACAAACAAATGGAAAGTCACAGAAAGCCACTCCCAAGACTATTAAACATGGGGAAATGCTCCACTCACTGTTAGAGAAGACTTGATGTAAATGTGAGGCCCTATTACGTGCAAGCACATTCATATCAGACTTGGTGCTGGAGCGATGGCTCAGTGGTTTTGAGCACTTGTTGCTCTCAAAGAGGACCCAGGTTTGGTTCCCAGCACCCAAAACCATTTGTAACTCCAGTTCTAGGGAGTCCAGCACTGTCTTCTGGACTCTGTGGGCACTGCACATCTGTGGTATCCTCACATACATGCTGGCAAAACACCCACACACATAAAATAAAAGGAAAACAAGTCTTCAAAAAACCTATCAGACTTGTGTTTCATACAATGATCCTCTAAGCAAGGGATGGAGCATCCATGAATGCACATTGATCGGTTCAGCCCTTCTGGATAGCAATTTGTATTTGTGGTCTCAGATTTTTTTTCCAACTGCGTGTTTTATTAGCGTGTGCATATGTGTGTGGAGGTCAGAGGACAACTTGGAGGAGTTGGTTCTCTCCTTCCACCATGTGGACCCCAGGGATTGAACTCAGGTCAGAAGACTCGGTGACCAGGGCCTTTGTCTACTGAGCCGTGTAACCAGCCCCTAAATAACTTTCAAAAGCTATGTAGAGCTGCATTTGATTGTAGACCTTAATGTTGCTCTCTGTTCTCTAATGGAACCACGCAGGTGGAGTGCCACCCATATTTCACCCAACAAAAACTCTTGAAGTTTTGCCGGCAACATGACATTGTTATTGTCGCATATAGCCCTTTGGGGACCTGTCGGAACCCAATGTGGTAAGTGATGCTGTGTTCTCTTCAAGAAGTGTCTCCTTCCATGTTAATAAGGCACAAACACAGAGGGAACTTGCTAAGTGGAAGGACTCTGGCTGTGGGATCTTCAAAAAAATGGCCCTTTCAAGTCAAGGTCCCCATAAACAAATGAAAACTCATGATACCTTCCTCACTGAAGGAAGGTTACCTGTTGATTACATTAAATCTATGGCATTTCCTGTTACTTCCTGATGTGTAAGAAACTCAGTAAATGTTGAGGTATATGAGAGTTTCTGTAGCTGTGTTCTGAAAGCTTTTAAGTGGCTGAATTCAGTACACAATGGCAATACCTTTGATGGACTCCAAGGGGCTTTAGAAACATGTGTACCCTGATGGCGTGGGCTGAGCTCCTCTCTTCTACTCCAGTTTTTGTTTTTCTTTTTCTTTTTTCTTTTTTCTTTGCCTTTCCCTATGAGTCTACTTCAGACCAAACTCTCTGTAAGACTCTTTACCCCACATCCACACACATGAAGAGAAAGAAGGCTTGGTGTGTGTGTGTGTGTGTGTGTGTGTGTGTGTGTGTGTGCTGTATATGTATTGTATGTAATATATAGTTATATATAATGTATATAGGTGTGTATTATTTGTCCTCTGTATCAGCCCACCCACCTGCCTCCCTTGATCTTTTCATGCTAAAGGCAACTCTTCACTCCATAATTCTTTACACCCAGAGAAATTAAACTAGAGGTGACTTGAGTGTCCTGGCAGTGAATGGGGACAACGGTAGCTTCTAAAGATGACATATATTTTCTCTTTTTCCAAGGGTGAATGTATCTTCTCCATCCTTGCTAAAGGATAAGCTTTTAAACTCACTGGGGAAAAAGTACAATAAGACTGCAGCTCAAATTGGGTTGCGTTTCAACATCCAGCGAGGGGTGGTTGTCATTCCTAAAAGCTTTAATCCCCAAAGGATTCAAGAGAACTTCCAGGTAAGAGAATTGCCTTTGGAAATGTGGAAAGACTGACCGTGTCGTCTGCTGTTGCTCCCGGGGAATGTTCTCGGACAGTGTGATGTGTCCCTTTCATGCCATCAGTCTCACAAACGCCCCCTGCTGTGTGCCGTGCGCATTAAGCACTCCCCTCTCTGTGGAACTCAGACTTCTGGTCTTGCAGACTTAAAGCCGGTGCAGATTCACTTCCCCGCGGTGGCCCTCTTTCTGTTTGCAGCCAACCTCTTGAAAGGGAAATCTGCTCTCAGGCCACTTCCCCGTTACCTTAGCCCCATTAAAACTGAGATTTCACCCCGCAGACCACATGGGACAGCTTTCCTCGGGGGCACAGGGGACTTCTGTGGGGTCAGAGATTTCAAACACATTTCGTCCAGTTGACACTCTTCTCTTTCTTAGAACATTTACTCTGATGGGAAACTGTGTCATACGGGTTTTGGTTCATGCTGGCCTCAGGCTTTCTGTGTAGCTAAGGATGGCTTTGGAAGCTTGATTCTTCTGCCTCCACCTGTCTGAGGGTACAGGCACGATTACCTGGCAGTTAATAATTTCATTTCATAGTATGAAATCTCCCTTCACATTTGCGCCATGAAATTAAAAGAAGACCACATTGAACAAGGAAAATGATTAGAGACAACATAGAAAGAGAGAATTTGGAAGTTTATCCTGAAGTTAAAAACCAAAATTTACAAAATTACAAATGGATTTCTTTGATTCACAGCAAAATGTAGGTTCCAGTTGCCTACATAGACTGAATCCTAGAGGAAGCAAAATCCGTGCTGGCTTTTTATGAGACATTTGATAAAATTTGCATGATATGCAGCACAGAATCCTATATTTCACAGAGACTTTCATAGAATGATCCTAAAGAGAATACTTTTTCACCTGAAGGGGAATTTTAATATCAGCTGTTCTTTTCATATATATATGTATGCATATATATATATACATATGAATTTTAAACTTGGCTTTGCCTTTACTTGGGAAATATTGTGCCTATAAGTAAAATAAATCTTCAAATCTTCTCTCATTATTGAGTTCATGAAATCTGTGTCCTTACAAGGCCTGCTTCAGTTTGTCACTAGGATCCATGGTGGAGCGAATAGACCTACTATGAGCAAAGAGTGTACCTGTGGAAGGACTCTTCTCTAGCCAAGAGTTTATTGGGACTGGGGTTTCATAACTCAATTTTTAAATCTTTCTTCTAGATTTTGTTTTCCTATTTTGTATGTGTTAGTGTTACCTGCATGTATGTATGTATGTATGTTCACTACGTACATGCCTGGTACATGCAGAGGTCCGAAAAGGGTGCCATATCCCCTAGCACTGGAGTTATAGGTGATTGTGAACCCGGATCCTCTGCAAGAGCAGCAAGTGCTCTAAGCCGCTGAGCCAGCTCTCCAACCCCCCCTCCCCCGTAGTCCAACAATTCATTCTATCATTTCATGAACTTCAATGTCTGGATAAAAGATAATCAAAGGAAGGAATTCTCTGAAACTAATGCTTGGACATGATCCATGGGGGAGCAACTAAGTAAGTGTATTTAATATATTCTGTGAAAAGTGACTGAATAAAAATAAGGTTACTTCTATGTGTCCATAGACAGATCACAAGGACCACTAATGTATGAGTAAGGAAGGGAGTTGTGCTACATTTATTTACCCTGACATGTTTAGCACCTGGAAAGAGAAAGTGCCAGAGTGGGTGGGTGAAGACCCTTCCCCTTTGGAACCCATACAGCGTCTATTTATGAAGAGCATGGATTTACAAACTACTTACATAATTAAAAATTATAAACTGTGGATACACTAAATATTAAAATTGGAGTGAAAATAAAACATCAAAAGCTAATACAGAACAATTATAAAATGAGAATATAAACAAAGTACAAAATCTAGGAAAAACTGCCAGGCAGTGATGGTGCACACCCTTAATACCAGCAGGACAGCTAAGGCTACACAGAGAAACAAAACAAAAAAAAGCTGGGAAAAAAATGAATCTCTAAGTTCAAGGCCAATCTGGTCTACAGAGCAAATTCCAGGAGAGCCAGCCAGGGCTACAAAGAGAAATCCTGCCTTAACAAAAGAAAGAAGGAAAAAATAAGGACTGGCAACCCAAGTCCAGTTCCCAGAGGCCACATCGTGGAAGGAGAGAACCAGTCCCTGCAAATTATCTTCTGAGCCCCATATGTGAGCCATGACACATGTGTGCCAACAGACATGCATGCACACACTAAACAAAGAGATGTGAGAAACAGAGAAAATAATTGCAGCAAAACTAAGAAGAGACATTTAAGATGATGGGAGAAGCTGACACAGTGGAGTGCACCTGTGATCCCAACACACAGGAGGCTGAAGCAGGGGGATCATGAGACCTAGCAAGTCCCAGACCAGCTTGAGCTGCACAGCAAGACCCTGTCTCAGAACATTATTGTTGTCATTATTATCATTATTATTATTAGCAATTTTAAAGATTAGGAGATATGTTCTCAGTGTGAGAAGGCAATAGTCCAGAATAAAACCATCCAATATTTAATGTGGAAAAAAAGAATCTTTCACATATAGAGCATTAGATGTTTTAAATGCCTACTGTTCAGTAAGTCTGAGGGGTCCCAAGGAGAATTGCTTCCAAGACAAAGGTCAGAGCAGAAGGTCAAACTGAGCCCCTCCCCGCCCTCGCCTATCCTCTGCTCTCCTGCAGGATACATGCCCTCATACAGGAACCCAGCTCTCTCAGACAATTGTAGAGCTCGCCCGAGGTTCTCCCTGGCTGCCTCCAAGCCATCTTCACAAATGTCCTGTCTTCTGTTTCTCTTATTTCAGATCTTTGACTTCTCTCTCACTGAAGAAGAAATGAAGGACATTGAAGCCTTGAATAAAAATGTCCGCTTTGTGGAGCTGCTCATGTAAGTGTCCTGGGATCGCCATTCAGATAGCGCTTTTCACATGTTAACCAAAGAGGTGCCTGTGCACCCTCCCCGATGCCCATTGAAACACCAGCATGAGGGATGAGCAGTGTGGTCTGAATAGTAGACACACCTGGGTGACTGTCCGACACAGGTGAAGGCGTGACATGGAAACAAGGAGAATTAACCCTCCATGCTACACCTGCTACTGCCAACAGCACAAGTTCTGAAATAACACTGTTTACTTCTAACTAAAAATCCCAAATTGGAGCAAATCTATTTTTTAAAACATCTGGGAGAGGCCCTCTTGTATAGTATAGAAGGAATATCAGGTTGTGAACCAAACCTAGAGTTTTAATCAAATATTTTCTTGCCTGTAAGATTTGGGGCTTTGGGACTGGAAAGATTTGTTCAGTGGTTAAGAGCACTTGCAGCTCTTTTTAGGATCTGGGTTCAGTTCTCAGCACCCATATCAGTCAGGCAGCTCAGAGTCCCCAATAACTACAGTTCCCAGGGATCTGAAGCCCTCTCCTGGCATCAAAGGCACCTTCATTCATACGGTGCACATAAATTCACACCCACACTTACACACAAATAAAACTAAATAAGTAAACTGGGTGTGGTAGAATGTACCTTAAATCCCAGCCCTCAGGAGGCAGAAGCAGGTGGATTTCTGTGAGTTCAATGTTAGCTACGTCTGTCTAATGAATTCCAGGCCATCCAGGGCTACATACTGAAGACCCTGTCTTCAGAAATAAATTCATAAATAAACAGGGCTGGAGCAATGGCTCAGTGGCTAAGAGTACTGGTTGCTCTTCCAGAGGACTGGGTTCAGTTCCCAGCACCCACATGGTGGCTCACAACCATCTGTGACTCCAGTTCTCAGGGCTCTGATACCCTCTTCTGGCTTCACCAGGTACTAGGCATGCATGTGGTTCATAGACATACGTGAAGCCAAAACACACATACACGTGAAAAATAACAAAATGTATCCTTTTAAAATGATTTAGAGAGCTAAGCTCTGAGTGTCAGCTACCTTTCCTATGAGACCTTTTCACACCATGTGAAGATGTTGTCAAGCTTGGCCAAGACAACAAAGTAGCTCTCTATCCCCTCAACACTGAAGGTCCTTTAAGCTAAAACTGGTGTGGCTTACACATGGTCAGATGTGTATATGCATGCACATATTGGATTTTGTTCTTTGTCAGTTTCCCATCACTCCTACTGATTTCTCAAATTATGTTGGCAGTCGCTTTCTTTATTTGGTCTTCTCTTTAAGCAAAAAGCTAGACAGCACCCATGAAGATAATGCCTAGAGTCGGAACACAATTGACCTCATTGCTTTTCGCAAGTCAGAACATATTCTGGATGGAGTGGCATTGATTTTCTGAATTACTGTAATAAAACAGCTCCTTAATGTGACTTTTTCCAGGGAGAACACTGCTTGGCATATAAAGATACCACCCAGCCTCAAAACATATGAAAAAACGCAAACACGCATAACTGTTTACCAGAAACTAAGCTATAAGGGAATCAATAGCTATTGAAGATATGCTATTCCTACTTAACAGTATCGTTAAGAAGAAATAATAATATGACCTGAATCTATCATCCTATTGATTTTCTTTTACTAACAACATTGTTTGATTTACATAACAGTACTAGGGGGAATATGACTCATTCTTGCAGAAAACAACTAGAAAATCAACAAAGTGATACAAAGATTAAACTCCATTAATAATAATAATTTAAAATTTGTGTCTTTGAGATGTCCTGGGCTATGACTTTTCTCTGATGCTATTGAAGAGCACCATTTGTTTTATATTTTCATGGTAGTTGCAGAGAGCTAAATCTTGGATATGTTCCATGACAGAAATGCATGCACTTTTGACTGTTTTGAACATTCTCACCTTTGTTATTTAAGAGGTAGGGTTATCATCATCATCATCATCATTGCCACCACCATCGTCATCATCATGCTCATTGTTACAAACAGTATGAAATGGATTCATTAGCATCATCATCATTACAAACAGTAGCACTTAGAATGCGAGGACAGGCAGGCAAGACCCTCACCTTGTTTTGTTTTGAGTGAAATGATGTAGCTACAACCAGCATTCCCTTGCCTACTGTGTGTGTGTGTGTGTGTGTGTGTGTATGTGTGTTCACACCATGAAAAGGTGCTGGCTTAAGAGGAGATGAGGAGGAAGTAAAAGGTGAATGACTAGAAACAAAGGGGGAGAAGAGCATGACCTTATCAAAGGATGTTGGTAACACAGCTGTGCCACCATTACAATAAACTGTCTTCCTCTTGGGGGTGTTATTTTGGCAGGTGGAGCGACCATCCTGAATACCCATTTCATGATGAATACTGAACATGGACAGTTCTTCCAAAGATGTTTTTCACTCATTCAGGATCTTGGGCTGGGTAATCCTCTCCAAATATGGAAATCAATGGGGGAGGAGAGTCTTGCTATCCTTAGATTGAATAGAACACACCATGTTTAACTTTTGTGTAGTATGAACTCAACAAAGTTCTGATGAAGAAATAAATAGATTCAAATCTATCTAAGTAATTCTTTGAAAATGCTTTGCTAGTTATTTTTAGATTAATGTCTTCTAGGTTGTTGATGGAAAACAGTAAACTTTACTTCAAAAGTGGCACATAAAAGCCAATTCTGACTCACAAATATGTAAGAAAGTCTGCATTGTTTAGCCTTTATCAGGACAGCAAAAATAGGTTTGTAGCTGGCATGCTTCCAGGTGTTGATTATGACCTTGATCTACTAAAGGTTTGGGTCATTGGTTGCAAGACAGACACAGCCAAGACAGAAATCTGTGTGCCATTATTAATGCATCTTGAGTATTGAGAGAACTAGAAGTCTAGAAATGTTTTAAAGAAAAAACACAATAGATTGGGCAAGGGCTGTAGGGGCATGCTGCAGTGCTTGGCTGGCATGCTGGAGACCCCGGTGAGGGTGTGGGGTCAGTCAGCAAAGGCATAATGATTGTTTCTCATTTGTTTCCATCCAGTGTACCCACTCAGCTTTTACTGTGCTTGAAGGATAGGAAGTACTGATTCTTTCTTAAATCTTTTTTGTTCGGAGTGGTGGGGAGTTGGGGCTGGGCTTCATGTAGTTCATGCTGCCCGTCCACTTGCTGTGCATCTGATACTGGACTTAAAAACTGAACCCCTGGTCTCTATTACATTTTTAAGGGCCTGGGCTTCCACATGACTGGTAAGCCATACTTGTACTCTCCATTCATCAAGAAAACCATCATGTAAGGTGGCTAAAACAACCAACACATACCAATCAAGCTTTTCATGTCATAAAATGGTCTGAAGATGGTGATTTTAAATGAATGAATTTTTAAAGGCGGATATGAGAAATACTAGAAGATAAGGTCTTCACAAGCTTCTTTTACAAAGGCTTAAGAATATATTGGGATATCTATCTGAATTTTGATGAAGTTTCAAGTTCTATAAGAACACGGACAATTTTATGATATGTAAATTTTTAAGAAGTAAATTGAATGATTACAACTGTGTCTATTTTTAATTTAACTATGAAAATAATATATTGGTTTATATTAGATCACTCTCAAAGGGCGAGGGAATTCTTCAAATATCATATTCTTCCACTAGAAATTGATAAAATTGAATGGCCCAAAGTAAAACATTTCAGAGAAATTGTGAGTTAAAAAATGTGATTACATGAATTTTTTCCAATATTAATGTCAACAATGCTGTTCTCTGGAAAATATTTTACTTGCAAGAATTAATAAAGTATAATGATTCATTCTACTGCACGATCTCTGTTCTGTTTCTAAGGATGGAGGAAGCGTCTTCATGAAAGTATATGGAAAGGGCTGAGGTCAAGTTCTTCCTGTGCTTTTAGCTTTGGGAAGAGAAGAAAGACAAGAGTACAGAATGAGAAATATGAGTCTCTGTTGTTAGAGCCCTTTAGGGTTTTTCATGGGGGTAGGGGTCATGTGGAGGCAGGACTAGACTTAACATCTGACAAACCATTTCTAAGAGGTAGATGCTTTAAAAAGGGTCCCACCATTTGTCAAGGAACTTGTTCCTGAATCAAAAGAGGATAAGGTCTGTCTTAATTATAGAAGTAATGGAGGGAAAAGAGTTGGGGACAGAAAATAGAGAATTTGGAAAAGAATGATAGTCTGGTATGAACCTCTGTATGTCAGTTCTTCGTATAAAGTATGTCTCCTCCTACCCCCGCCCAAAGTTTATGTTGAAATCTCAAACTCCAGTGACGCAGGACATGGCATTATATGAAAAAGGTCCTGATATCTGTGGTTAATTAAGATGGGGTCACACTGATTCCATCACTTCAGAGTCCCTGCACAAAACAACACAGCCCTGAGCATACAGGTTCACCAGCTGCAGGCATAATGATAGAAAATAATCAAAGCAAACTTTTTTTTTAAAAATGTAGAAGTATCATTCTCATATGAATACAAAGTGTAAACATATCAATGATTCCTATAGCTCATCAGTGACAGAATCAGTCAAGGTAATGAGAGAACTACAGGAAGCCAGACCTGATGGCACACACAGGCTTGTAGTCTCAGCTATTGGGTAGCCCAAGGCAGGAGGAACACAAGTTCAAGGCCAGCCTGAAACTTAGTGAGATCTTGTCTTAAGAGTAAAAGGAGGTCTGGGGTACCATTGAGTGCTTGACTAGCATATGAGAAACCGTAGGTTCAATGCCTGAGGTGGAAAGGAAGGGGTGGGAGGAAAAGAGAAATATGTGTGGTGGGGGCAGGTAAGTGTTCTCAAGGACTATAAAACCATGGAGCCCAAGGTGACCAGATTTCATCATTTACCTCTGCCCGAAGATCCTGCAGCACTGCTGAATGGCCATCACGCTCATCACCACCAGCTCTTCAGCGAGAGGCCACTGCCCTCACTAAGCTACAAAGCATTCTCTTGAGAAACTGACTCGGGGGTCTGGTATGTTCACACTCCACACATCCCAAATCTGTCCTTTAACCACTCAAGGAAGATGACACTGGAATACCATTGTCAAGAAGAATGTTATATCTGGTCCATTGGAGGTTCTGGATGGTTTATGGTAGTGAATGATAACATGAGAACTTTCTACCACATAGTCTTACTTTGTCCTACAGAGTCTGTACACTGAGCAGGCTCAGCCATACCGAGGCTTCATGCCTAAGCAGCTGATCAGACAAGAACTCTGGACCTGAAATCTCAGGTGGATTTCCCTGGCTGGCAGTACTACAGATAGATCGTCAGACACGATTGCTTGGAGGCAAGTAAGCAAGATCCGTGGAATTCCACTGGAAGAAAACAATAGAAGCCTGTGCCTGATTTCCCACACAAATTCTGACCTGTGCTTCTTGCACTTTGGCTAATTATAACCTACATACTCGCATTGTCATTAGCCATAGACATGGGTATGACTCCTTTCCTGAGTTCTGTGCCTTACTTTAGTAAGTCATGGGACCTGAGGGTAGACTCAGGAGACCTTTACCACAAACAGTTAACATACTGGCTGGGTGTGACTGCCCAGGCCTCTAATCCCAGCATTTGAGGGGGCCTGAGGCAGAAGGATTGCAGCGAGTTTGAGGCTAGCTTGGGCTGCAAAGTGAGACTCCATCACAAAACATAGAATCAAACAAACTGAGTGCATGTGCGCACTCGAGCTTGTGCGCACACAGACACACACACAGACAGACAGATGCATGCACACACACAGACACACACACAGACAAGATAGATGCATGCACACACACACACAGACAGACAGATGCATGCATACACACAGACACAGAAGATAGATGCATGCACACACACACACAGACAATATAGATGCATGCACACACACACAGACAATATAGATGCATGCACACACACACACACAGACAGACAGATGCATGCACACACACAGACACATACACAGACAGACAGATGCATGCACACACACACACAGACAGACAGATGCATGCACACACACACACACACAGACAGACAGATGCATGAACACACACAGACACACACACAGACAGACAGATGCATGCACACACACACAGACAGACAGATGCATGCACACACACACACAGACAAGATAGATGCATGCACACACACACACACACAGACAGACAGATGCATGCACACACACACAGAAGATAGATGCATGCACACACACACACAGACAATATAGATGCATGCACACACACACAGACAAGATAGATGCATGCACACACACACACACACAGATGCATGCACACACATGTACATATAGCCAACAAAAACATGAAAGTTTCTCTGGGAAACCAGGTAGCCTGTGAGGAAGCCAGCTGCACACTGCTCCCACAGCAACTTTCACTCTTTTTCAGATATTGGATAACTTTGTCTCGCTATGAAGCCATCCTCGTGTGCTCTTGCTGAGCTGGGGCAGGGATACTGCAGTACTTTCAGGGGTCACCTTAGGCACTTACCTGCTCTACAGGCAGAGGCACTAAAGTGTCCAGATGTCCACATGAAACATCCCCACAGGCAACAAGCAAACAAACTCACAGGAAAGAAGGACTCAGTAAAACTGAGTACCGCTAGACCACTCAACAGTTCCGCTCTGTGTTTACCCACACACGAGTTCTTCATTTTACAGTACAGCGTACTGGCTTATATCCACACACAGAGCAAGGTACATGGGGTCCATGAATCTGCGGCTTGCAGCTCAGGGATATTTTTCACATTTATACGTACTCGCCTATCTTAGGGTTTTTATTGCTGTCAAGAGACACCATGACCATGAAAACTCCTACAAAGGAAAGCATTTAATTAGGTGGCTCACATTTTCAGAGGCTGAGTCCATTATCATCATGATGGGATGTGGTGGGGTACAGGCAGACATGGAGCAGGAGCTTAGAGCTAATACATCTTGACTCGCAGGCAATAGTAAGTATTGTCTCACTGGGCATGGCTTGAGCACATAGGAGCCCTCAAAGCCCTCCTCCACAGTGACATGCTTCCTCCAACAAGGCCACACCTCCTAATAGTGCCATTCCCTTTGGGGGCCATTTCTTCAAGCCACCACATTCCATTCCCTGGCCCCCAAAGGCTTGTAGCCATAGCACAATGCAAAAATGCACCCAGTTCAACTTCAAAAGTCCCCATCATCTCGTATCACAGTCTCAAACTTGTTTAAAAGTCTAAAAAGCTCAAAGTCTGTTCTGAGATTCATGTAGTCTCTTCACAATAATCCCCTGTATAATCAAAATAAAAAAGCAGATCACTTACTTCCAACATACAATAGCACAGGATATACATTACCATTCCAAAACGTGGGAAAGAAAGCATAGTAGGAAATACTGGATCAAACCAAGACTGAAAAGCAGCTGGGCAAACTCCAAACTCTGCATCTCCATGTCTGATGTCAAAATGCTCTTCTGATCTCCAACTCCTTTCAGCTTTGTTGACTGCAGCATACTCCTTTCTCTTGGACTGATTCCATTCCCTGTTAGCAGTTTTCCTTGGCAGCTTCCCATGGCTCTGGCATCTGTAATATCTTGGGGTCTCCAAGGTAATCCAGGATTCACCTTCACAGCTTCATGCAATAGCTTCTCTGGGCCTCCATTTAGAGACACTCCTGACACATGCTTGGTTCAGTGGCTTTCTTTAGTTGAGGAGGCAAATTTCATAGCCCTTTCTTCTATCCTTATAAAGCCTTCTATCCTTAACAAGACCACACCTACTCCAACAAAACCACGCCTCCTAATAGTGATGTTCCCTTTGGGGACCATTTTCTTTTGAACTATCACACCACAGATAACATTCAGATCAAGAGATGAGCATTTCTAAGGCTGAGGAAATGGCTCACTTAGTACAGCGCTTGCCATGCAAGCATGAGGACTTGAATTCAATTTCCATTACCACAGCACTATGAGCCTGCAGAAAAACCCTGCTGATAGGGAAGCAAAGCCCAAAGCATTCTTGGGACAACTGGTCAACCACCACTCTAATTGAATTATCAAGTTCCAGGTTCAGTGAGAAACCCTGCCTCAAAAATAAGGTAGAGAACTGAGGAACGGAAATGTCATTTGACAATGACCTCTGACTGCTACAAAGCTCACATACATGAATACAACTATGCACATGCAAATACACAAATTCACAAAAAATAAGGTAATAATAATAAATGTAAAAGTATGTTAGATGCTTGCCTCAGAATTTTATCTCTGTGTATAGTCTATATATTTTATTTTTCATCAAAGACCAATTTCACAAATTCATATTTTTTCAAAATATATTATTGTTATTTTGTATAGAAAAAGTGCATTCACTTATTTATCCCACATATATTTTGTGTGCTTGGTTAGCTCCTTGGGCTACCTCAGTGAGCACAACAGAAATCTGATTCTCAGTACTTACATTCTTATTCTTTAATGACAGTTAATTTTCCTATAGCATATTCAGTTTTTTTTCTGTTCTTATTCTTACCTTTTGCTATCAATTAATCTGTGCTTAGTCCAATTCTTTGTTCCTTTTTATTTTCTTTCTGGGTTTCACTTAGAATAAATTTGCAAAAGAAAAGAAAAATATAACTCGCTCCATGGTTTTATCCATTCAGATTTAATTTTCTTATCCTAGCATCTTTCCTCTGTCTTTCTTTGCTTACCAATAGTAAGTACCCTTACTTCTTAGGCTAAATGCCATTTGACCAATGTTTTTGGTTTGCTTATCTTTTTCTTGCTTAGTGATATGGACTCCAAACACAGTGAAG